AAAAAAACACAGAAGAATAAAAAAATAAAATAAATTCTAGATTGGCCTAAAACATGAAGATAGAGTAGAAGTAGGAGCTAACATTTTAAATGTCTGCTATATGCCCTATTAAAATCTTTACAAAAGCAACTGCACTGTCATGTATACTTTACTTATTGAGAAAACCACATCCCATAAAAGTTTAGTAACTGTCCCAAAGTCACACAGCTAATAAGTGAACTGCCATTTAAGGATATGAACTCAGATCTTTTAGCCAGAAATCTTCCCTGAACTTTGCATTTTCTGTCTTTTAATTACTATACTGTATCTCCATCAGGTTAAATTATTACATACCAATTTTAAGAGATCAAAATTCAAAAGTCTCTGATATTTGTGAGGTTTAGAAGATTAATGCTGCTCTGAAAACCTCAGATTTTGGAGGCATTCAAATTAATCATGGTATGTAATCCTCCTAGGCTTTCTTTTGACAAAAATGGATTCAGAGTAGGTAACTACTTTGATTGTCATTTTATCTATGGAATACAAAGTAATTTACACAACCAGGAAATTTTGTTTTGATGAGATGTGGTTACATACAATGATGACTTAAGACTATTATCCAGCTAGGAATTAAAAATCCGTGCTATATTATCAAAATCAGAGTGGCATAATTATCATGCCCTTAAACTCATACAAAGGAGAACTCTCACAGTGTTAGAGGAAGAATTTTGCTGAAAAATGAGCAAAATGACTATTGCTTCATCTTAAATACATCTTGCTCTTACTCAAAGTGTTATCAACACCACTTTCCTGTTCCCTTACATTCTCTATGCTGCAACGATGATAGGAAGAGGCTCAGGTTTGCAACAAAAACCAGAAAAGATAAATAGAAAAGAAAAGTTGGTGGTTTTCACCTCCGGTAATTCTATGGAAAACGGTCCATTTTAAAATTAATTATTTGGTCAGTCTAGGTTAAATCTGCCTCTAATGAACACAGTCAAAATATACCATATTAAATTTCAGAAGGTAATTGATGGGTTACTCTTTATGTAGTACATTTTATTTACTATGTTTTTAAAGAGTAGAGAACAGGAGAAAGAATAATGTTCAAAATTTATAGTAAAGCTCCAACACTGTAAACAGAAGCAGTCTCTGCCTGTGGATATCATTCTCTGGGATGTGCAGTAGGTCTTTCCTATTGGGAATTGGATGAACCAAGGTGAAGTGTCTTAATGACAGCAGTCATCAAGATTGCCCTGCTAACTTCCCTTGCTCTGATTCCAAGCTTAAGAGCAATCTTATGATTTGGGCCTTCTGTGTAGCTATGTATACTGGATGAAAATGTATTGATATGTCTACCTTGAGTACTTTATCATTTTCCTCTCTATGTTTTTAATACTTTCCTAGTTCCCTTCTGGTTTTAGGCTAAATGTGAATCCTTTAGCAGTATAACACTATGAGCTCATAGAATATTAAAATTAGAGGGATCTTGACAGTGGCTGATTACAAACATGGTCAAATGTGAATATTATTGCAGTTAATTACAAATCCTAGTATTAAAAATTAATTAATGTCACAGCATCTTATATTAACTAAATAAAAGCAACCAGACAATCTAAGTGACCATCTTAGTATTATTGATTTATCTTTTCAATTTTAAATGTTTTACAAAACACATAGTTAATAAATTAAATCTAAGAAAATAAATTTAACACTGAACTGTATTATTTTTAATATTGTTTTAAATTGTAATTATACATAAATATATAATCATATTGAGAAGAAATGCAACTATCCTTTTTCTTTTCATCTTATTAATCATAAATCATTAAGAAATAAATATATAGGCTGGGTGCAGTTGCTCACGCCTGTAATCCTAGCACTTTGGGAGGCCAACGCAGATGGATTGCCTGAGCTCAGGAGTTCAAAAGCAGCCTGGAAACATGGTGAAACCCAATCTCTACTAAAATACAAAAAATTAGCTGGGCATGGTGGTGTGCGCCTGTTGTTCCAGCTACTCTGAAGGCTGAGGCAGGAGAATTGCTAGAACCCGGGAGGTGGAGGTTGCAGTGAGCTGAGATTGTGCCACTGCACTCCAGCCTGGGTGACAGAGAAAGAATCTGTTAAAAAACAAAAACAAAACAAAACAAAACAAAAAAACCATGGCTGTTAATAATTATTTGAAACAAAAAGATGTCCACATTTAATACAGTAATCCTATAAGAAAGCAAACAAAGTCAATAGTAAAACACTAATGTAAAAATTGCAGAAGGCCCAGAAGACTCTCTTAGTTGAGGAGATAGAGCTGAATGTCCAAGGAGAGTAAGACAGCTGGAATTTGCAGAGCAGAGCACCAAAAAGGAGAAACCTGTGTGGAGGGGATATGCAGAGTGTCCCCTCATGTATTCAGCAGATACGGATAGCACATGGTTGTGAAGAAACTATTCTAGTCCAAGGAAGGAGTCATCTGAAGGCATTAAAGGAGTAGTGGCTAGTGCTTACTGACACAGGGCCTAAGGAAGGTGGAATAAAGAAGTTTTCACACATTGAAAAAAAACTGAAATAACCAAAAGCACCTACCCCCAAGAAATGTTAAAAGGAATCCTTCAGGCAGAATGAAAATGATACCAGGTAGAAATATTTTCCTATATGAAAGAATGAAGAGCACCAGAAATGAGGAGATGGAGCAAAAGATGCATGGATAAATATGTTAGATTTTTTCTTATAATTTCAATCTCTTTAAAAGATAATTCGCTGCTTAAAAGTAATAATATGCAGTCAAGTCAAATTCAGTGCCCGTTCCTGTCATGGTGGATGCTGCCACAGCAAGCTCCACAGCTCATGAGCACTCGGTCACCCACTCTGGGACCTGGGGATAAGTTTGGCTGTGGTCACTGTTGAAAAAAAGAAAAATAATACATAAAATATAATAATAATAAAGCACTGCAGGGTTTATAAGACATGTAAAGGTAAAATGTGTGACAACAATAGTGCAAAGGCCAGGAAGAGAGAAATAGAGGTATGCTATTGTAAATGTCTTGTACAGAAGTTGATATATGTGTCATATAAGTGAAGTGATGTAATATCAAAGGTCAAATATGATAAAGATTTATACTGTTAGCCTTAGAGTAACCTCTAAAATGACTAAAATAAAAAACAGTCAGAAAAGGAGATAAAGTGGAGTTATGAAAGATATTCAGGCAATCCAAAAGAAGGCAGCAAAAGAGGACAAAGGGAACAAACACTGTATGGAACAAATAGAAAATCAGTAGTAAGATGATAAGTTGGGCCTAACCATATTAATAATTAATAATGTTTAAACTTTTTATTTAAACATTTTATTTAAAAGGAAAAATTTGTCCGATCTGATATAAAATGAAAGAACCAGTTAAATACTACCAATAAGAAACACATTTTAGGTCAGGCACAGTGGCTCACACCTGCAATCCTGGCACCTTGGGATGCCGAGGAGGGTGGATTGCTTGACGTCAGGAGTTGAATACCAGCGTAGTCAACATAGCGAAATCCTGTCTCTAAGAATGCAAAAATTAGCCCAGGTGGCGGCACATTCCTGCAATTCCAGCTACTCAGGAGTCTGAGGCTGGAAAATTGCATGAACCCAGGAGGCAGAGGCTGTAGTGAGCCAAGATGGTGCCATGGCACTGTAGCCTGGGCGACAAAGTGAGACTCCATTCCCACCTCACCAAAAAAAGAAAAAAGAAACACCTTTTATGTATAAAGGCTGATAGACTAAAAGTAAAAGAGTGGGAAAACAGGCTTACATTAAAAATGGCCTAGAAATTTGATAGATGAAATAGACAAATTTCTTATAAGACAAATTGCAGAGATCTCTGTGGGCAATAGAAAATTTAAATGAGCCTTTATCTACTAAAGAAATTGAATTTGTGGTTTAAAACCATCCCATAAAGAAAGCCTTAGGCTAGATTACTTTAATGGTGAATTCTACCAAGCTGTTAAGAAAGAACTAACACCAATTCTAAACAAATTCTTTCAGAAAATCAGAGGTGATTCCAACTCATTCTATGGTGCTGGAATTACTCATCATTTGGCTGGACTTCATCATAGTATCCGCCCAAAACTACCTTTTATCCTGTAGTTATGATAAATAAATGTGTGCTAAACAACAGTAGCTCTTAGTACAGTTGAGCCAGACAATTCTTTTTGACTGAATGACCATAACAAAACAGTGACTGAATAGCAGATTAGTGTCAACATGGAGAGAGAACTTTAATAAACGATGAGAACATGTATTAGATATCAAGAATGTAAGGGCCATCTGGCTGCAACATCTTTCACCCCACTGATCACCAGGGTTTATTTGGCTGATGTGGCTGGCTGAGGGGGGAGGGGTGCCCACTTCCTCCCTCATTGCTCCATGTGCATTGCTCTGGAAGCTGTGTCCTGGGTCTAAGAAGACAACCATATCCAGTAGAGGAGAACAGGTCTTCTTTCAAGAGGATACGAGTAGCTGTGCTTCCCTGCTAGAACCTCCAAACCAGCTCAAGGACAGGCTATCAAACGGTCCCATGTGGTAAAAACAATAAATAATGGCTCTCCTGGAACATTTTCCTGTAAATTATGAATGCATGGATCCAAGTCCCTCATGTTTTCTGATTCTCTCATTCCAGAGTTATTTTCTTCCAGCAGTAAATTGCTGACAGGATGAAGATCTTTGTGCTAGATATTTCTGCCCAGCACTGAAATAGATCATATGGCATTTTTGCCCATAAGCCACTGGGTAAAACTTAGTCCCTTCCCCTACCGAGATACAAGGAGAGTTGTTTATATAGTTGTCCTGTATACCAGGAGAAAAGTACAATAATTTGGTAAACACATAGCAATGTATCGGCTATAAATATTATGAATACTTTGTATAACAGCATCAGGACCAAATAAGCTAAAACCATGATCCATATTTAGCTGACACAGGCTAAAAAAATTTTTACAAATCAACTTAAATCAAAACCTTAAGATAAGGGAGATTTATCTAGACATTAGCAAATTAAAATATAGGTCAAAAATAAATGAGTGTAAAGGACATTAATTGAAGTATTCATTCCAGTTTATTATTTTTCTCTCTGTGCTATTCAGACTATCCCAAGATATTATATATTATATTATATATAATTCAAGATATTATATTGAATTATAAATGTTGCACTGAGAGAAACATTGACTAATGGGAGTGGGCCCAATAATAACATAGTTAAAATGAAAAAGAAAATCTGAAAATTGTCCATAAAAATTAGTTGAAATAACTTGAAATTTTATCCTGAAGAAAATACTTAGTGATTAATGTGATAACTGTCATAAAGTATTTGAGTATGGGCATCATTTAATACAGTGATCAGACTTATTTTTTTATGGTTCTTAGAATTAGTACAAGTATCTTGTATATAGAAGGAAAATATGGGCTCAATATAAAGAAAATTACTTTATAAATAGAGCAATTGTTCTCAAAATGTGATCCAGAAGACCCAGAGGTAACTAAGAACTTCAAGGGGTCTGCAAGTTCACAACTATATTAAAAAGAATATTAGGGTGTTATTTGCTTTTTAGACTCTCATTTTCTTACATAAGCCACTGTAGTATCTGCAGTGAAAGCTTTTAAAAAGCAACAAAACAATCATTTACTTACAAGTGTGCAGTGGAGTTTTCCAGGGGCTACCTGACATGTTGTGTCACAAAAAAGAAAACATGAGAACCCTTTATTAAGATGGAAATTAAAAAAAAAATTTAAGTGGTAAACCATTCCATTCTTCTCACTATAATTTTTGAAAACATATTTTTAATTTAAGAAAGTGTTAATATATAATAGGTTTATTATTAATGAATTAATTTAGTATTAAAACAACTCATTTAATTTCTAATGTAACAAACATCAATAGCTATACGCCATTAAACAAAAGTTCTTTGGGATCTTCAATACCTTTCTTTTCTTTACAAGGGAAAGACTCCATAAGTTCTAAGAGTAAAAAGGGGTATAAAGACCAAAAAGTCTAAGATCCAGTGAAGTAGGGCTATATAAAATAGGATTAACTGCCTTAATAGATAATGAGTTATCTATCACTAGAATAGCTAGTTGGTCAATTATGAGGGATATTGTGTGAGACATGCAAACCATAGTAATTGGGTTGGACAGCCACTGAAGCCTATTCCAAAACTAAAATTCAATGATGGTTAAACTCTATAATCACTGATTAATTTCATAAAATACTGATAAGAACACAGTTAAAAATGTTTTTGTCAAACATCTACTGTGTCAGAGCCATAATTAGAATTCTGTTTTCTTTCCATCACTTTTATTCCTTCCCTATATCCTATTCCTCTAGTTATCAACCTTACATTTGCCTCAAGGCCTTGGCCAGGAAAACACATGGACTGTGTTCCATCCTAACTGGAACCATGAGCTCAGCATCTAAGATGTTTGTTGGTTTCAGCCACCTTCCTTTCTCAGCACTCTTTGACTGAATAGACCATAGACCTCTCAGTCTTCTGAGGTGCTGTTTGTTTACCTTGACTCTTGCTCTCCATGTATTTCCAAGGCACTCAAAGTATATATTATCGAAGAAAGAAAAAGATTCAGTCCTGGGATGTGAGTGGGAAGTAAGAAAACAAGAATGAAACAAATGAAAACAATACCTAATTTTGAGATCATCTATGTCAGCGGTCCCCAAGTCCCCAAACCTTTTTGGCACCAGGGACCAGTTTTGTGAAAGACAATTTTTCTATGGACGTGGGTGGGGGTGAGGATACAGATGATGGTTTGAGGATTAAACTCTTCCGCCTTATATCATCAGGCATTAGATTCTCATAAGGAGCACACAATCTCACTCGCAGTTCACAACATGGTTCAGGATTCCCACTCTTATGAGAATCTAATGCCCCACTGAGGGAGGCGGAACTCAGACGGTAATGTTAGGTCTCCCGCCACTACCATCTCCTGTGCAGCCCTATTCCTAATAGGCCACGGACCTGTGCTGATCCCTGGCCTGAGGTTGGGGACCCTTGATCTATTGGATGGGATGTTATAAAACACTAAGGCACATACAATTGGACACCAACAAATACTTTCCCAAAATAACAGGCCTGAATATAAAAGGTGTACTAAATAGATGCTCTGTAAGACTTCCCGAAGAAATCAGTGAATATAGAATTTTATGAGCACGAAAAATGTTGTAATCATGGACATTAATTAGTTACTGTGATGTATTTGTCATAGTAGCCAAGTATGATTGTTGTGTCAATATTTGGGAATCATTTACATATTGTTTTAAGATTTTCATGGTTCAGACGTTTATAACTGTATTTCCTTGAAAAAAAAAATCAAGAATATAGCCCAAATCTTGAAGTGAAATTAAGGCAGCAAAATAAAACTGCCTACTGGATAGTCGGAATGATACCAGTCAGTAGAGGCTGATCTGGAAGTTGGTTTCCTATTGCCAGTAGGTGCCCTGGAGGAAATTTCAATAATCTCCAAACATTTTTGCACTAAATATCTGGATATTTAGGACGAAAATGACCCATTTATTATGATCCCTGCTTCTTATGTATAGATACAGAAATGTGGGGTTTTTGAGTCCTGAAAAAGTAAAGACCAGCATACCAGTTTGGATATTTTGAAGAGAACAGATTGAAGAAAGAGAATAACACAAAGCTGGCATTGTCATATAATTTGAACCTCACATAAAAATGTCAAGTTTTTTTAATATGGTTGTTTTGATAGAAGGTAAAACACAAATACTTAAAAATTTTAATAAATATATATTTTTTAAATCTCAGATCTAGTTGCACAAAGAAAGTAAATATACCACTCAAATAGTAATTTCACTCATTTTCAACTTAAAATTAAAAAATTGAAAAACAAAGAAAGAAG